AATGATGAGAGCAGAGGATGAACAGCTGGTCTTAGGGGAGCCGGAGGGCAGCTGGGAGGACAGCCAGTGGGAATCCGAGTGGCTGCTCGGTGATCCGGCAGGGCCGCGGATGGCTGTGTGAACTCTCCCAGGCTTTACACTCTGATGCATCCAGAACAGGAGACTGCACACTCTCAATGAGGAACAAATGTGGTTCTTAGGAAGCCACATTCGAGCCTTGATAAGGCCCCTAGTGGGCTCTGGAGAGGAGAGGGATGCTAGCTGGGAGGGCTGTGGGGAATAGGTCAGACTGAACTGAGAGGTGGTGGAAAAAGGAGGGATGAGGAGAGGGCTGAGTGAGGGGGGAAGGGAGAGGTAGGGCCAATGTCCCTGCAGACTCTACCCCATCCCCACCCACAAAGTCAAGTCTAGGAGAAAGAGGGAAACACAGGACCGAGTCCATGAGTAAGGAGGAGCAGGTGAGTGAACAATCTCACCTGGGATTTAGCGCACCCAAAAGCACAGCCCCACCTTCTAGGTCCCCACCAACCAGCTGGGACAGGAAGTGCCATTTAGCGATCCAGCCTCCTGCATGAAGCAGAATGGACAATCCATCTGCCTCTTGCTTTCTGAAGCACAGTATTCCTCGCACCTCCTTGCCAGAGACTGGCACCTCTGCCTTCCCTGTTTGCCCAGTCTTCCAGACTACACGGCTCTGACACAGCTCCCTGGGTCCCATGCTGAGACCGACTCTTGCATGCTCGCGCCCTGACAGCTGGCCTAAAGATTCCCACTCATGGCATGAGCGATGCTGATGTGGATGGAGCCTCAGTGTGCCATTCTCCTTCGAGCACTAGAGTTTGGCCATATGCAGGTAAAAATACCTCTTTATTCCGCCATATCCTTATCTGGAAACAGGGGCTAGCAATTGTCCTAGCTCAGAGGATTGTTGTGAAAACTAAAAGTCTTAACACATGGTAAGCACTTAGCAGAGTACGTGGCATGTAATTTATATTAGCTGTAGTGGGGATTAATATGATTATTGTTAGTCCATCAGGGAAGCTCCACAGTGAGTTCAGTTCTTCTTGCTCTGGCCTTGACCAGGTTTTTCTGCCTACACCCCCTCCCAACTTCATGGGGCCCTCTTCTCTCTCCCCCAACCTCCTAACATGCACACACACACACACACACACACACACACACACTCACACACACCCACACATCTTCAAATACTACCCATGTCAAACTTGACCTGGATCTGCTGAGAAGCTCTGGTCTTCTCCATCCCCAACATAATTGAAGGTGCCTTGATGGGTCTGGTATTGATCGGTCTGGCATTGATCAGACCGTGATCATCCCTCATCAGTGTTAATGACCACTTAGATCTGGAGTTTGGGATTCCATTTCTGCTCCACACTAGGAGCAACATTCATTTGCTTAAATAAACCTGTCCATGTATACTAGAAGGTACACACAGCTCATGCTATGTGGCTGCCAGAGGTCAGTAAGGAATCTCTACTCCTTGTCATCATGTGGGAGTTCAGAGTGACAGAGTCCCATCTTGACACCTGTCTCCACAATCCCACAGGCAGGGAGAAGAGCATGGCAAAGCACTCAGTGACTCTGAAAGCTTCCACCTGGAAATGACACATGTCACCACCTCCACCCCCAAGGGACCTGAAAGAGGCTGCCTGGCTGGAAGACATTTCCTCCTCCCAGACATAACTGGGACTTTTCCTTGTCATCTACACAGGCACCTTCTGCGAAGAATGTGCACATGTGTGTGTGTTTCTCATTAAGACCTAATGCATGAAGCCATCAGATTTGTTCAGATTGGCCCAGGATTCAGGGAGAAAGCTGAGGTTTTATGAAGCTCCCCAACCAATGGGAAATTCATGAATTATTAAAAGGATAGAAAAAGAGACCTGAGGAGGAAGGGCCGCTCCATTATTCATCAGGCCGGGAGTCCCCAAGTCCCCAAGCACAGCTGTTGGCTTTGACACCTACAGCATTTTCCCATTATGTCTACAGTGAGCATTTCAAATGCACCGTATTGGCAGCCTCCGAGCAGAGCTCCCGCCCACGTCACCCACTGCCTGTCTCATTATCTGAACCAGTCCGCAGCCCCACTGTGGGACACAGTTGTTGGTGCTGCTCACCCACCTTCACTTCCCAGGGTCCCTGGTCACAGACCTGAGGACCTGAGGGCCGAGCTCCTTGAAACAGCTGGAAGGCCTCGCCCACTCTGGTTCCAGCTGTCTCTTCGGTTTTTTCTTCCCCGTTTTCCATGCCCACCCTATCTCAGACCATTTCCCTTACCCTGAATGTAATTTCATCTTCTCAGGCCTTTGCCCGGGATGACCCCTTTGCCTGAAACTCCCTTCCCAGCCCTCTGTCTACCTGGTGAATTTCTATTTATCATTTACAGTCAGATCACAAGGAGGAAAATTAACTTTTGCTGAGAGCTCCCTGTGTGTCAGACCTTGTGCAAACACAATCTCACTGTCACAACCCAGTGAGGTTGGTGTTATCACCAGCACCAGAGACACAATTTTGTGGGTCCGGTGAAATAATTAAGATGTAGCCCCTTGTTAAAAACTGATTAAAAATTTTGAGATGGCAAAATCAGATCATCAAATCAGGCACAGAACCTTCCTAAGAGCAGGGCGTTCGGACCCACAAAGCCAGCTTTGGTTATAGAGAAGTGAATAAAAGCTCAGAGAGGTTAAGTAACTTGTCCAAGGTCACACAGCCAGTTAGGGGCAGAGTTAGATTGAAGACCTCATTCCAAAAGATCCAAATTGCTGTTCTTTCAACCACCCATGTTGTGGGGACTTTCCCACTTGCCTTAGGCAGAATGACTGGGGAGGAGGCTGTGAGCACCCCTGGACACTAGCTTCCCTTTTAAAGGGTGTCTTCTGCAGGCAATTGATCTGTTATTTCTTCATAAGAATTGCAAGATGATCCAGAGAATAGGGTCACACAGATCAAAAAGGGGGCCTATCTAGGGAGCAAGTGGACATTCTGGGATTCCTCAATTAGCCCGCAAGGGAGGACATCCCCTCTCCCACCCACCCCTTCTCTGACGCCAGGCAGTCTGCTCCCCCCTACTCCACTCACATACACTTCAGTGGCTGGAGGACATGGCGACGGCCCGAAGCGGTGACCCACAGGGCATGGATCCCAGGCCAGCCTCTCTGGCCTTTGCCAGGAATATGAACTACAGACCTCGAGAAAAGGCACATCTCCTGGGCTTTTTGCCTGTTTTCATCTTTCCATTTCATTGATCCAGCTCCCTCTGAGGTTTTGTTTGGTGGTTTTCTCCTTGACAGCTTTAATCTTGGGGACATGTGTCCAACTTCCAGTCATTCACTGAGCAAATACTATATTCCTACTATGTGTCAGACCTTCTCCTTTTAAAGGCTCCCGGCATAGTTAGGGAGACTGACAGTAAAAAATTCATCATTGCCATACTGGTGAGAGCTGTGCAAGAGGCTCCCGGGCCCAGAGACGAAGAAGAAATCCATTCCTGGGTCAAAGGGAGCAAACTGAATAAGGTCTTGAAGGATGTATAGGAGTTTTCCAAGTAGGATATAGGGCAATCCATGCAGAAGGAACTAGCACATTTGGAAGAGTCCAAGGATAATAGGGGTTGAGAATTTGAGATATGGGGGCACTCAATCCGGTGGGAGATGTGGTCACCTGTCATATAGGGTGAGGCTTTTCCATCAGGGTGTTCTGGGGGGTAGAGAAGAACACTCTTGGGGTAGGTGGGAAAAGGGAGAAAAAGCTGGAAACTGAATAGGCTTAAAATATGTGAACAGACACCTGGTGTGTCCTTTCCATAAACCTTCAGTTGTCCCAGCTCCACATGGCCCCATTCACATGTGACAAAGTCCTCCACGTCAGGAGACCTCAGCAACATCGACGCTTCCATAAGGGTTTCTGCCCTCCAGTTTTAAACAAATATATTCGCTGCTGATGTCTCATTATATTTGCCATCAAATATTTCCACGCTCCGCCTCTTTGACCCCTCATGGTCTGCAGGGATGTTACAGGCCTTTGAGGGAAGCTGCTGGTCTGTGAGTGTCTGCACAAGTGTGCCGGACATAGATAGCGGTCAGGCCATTTCGAAGCAGTAAAGACGCGTGGCTGCACAGGCCAGGAAGAGTTCGCCCTTGGGTTCGCCATCCAACCTGGCTGACCATACTGGCTCCAGCTGCCACTTTCAAATTAGTCACAGATTAACAAACATCTCTGCGGCACCTACTGGGTGTCCAGGACCCAGTGACTAAAGAAGAAATTAGAAGCCAAAGAACGAAAAAATATTTACATGTTGGTTGCCACCTTTTACTGGACATACATTTCCATTTTACAGTTTAGAGGGACAAACACATTGCGTAAGGCCACACAGTACAGAAGCATAGTGGGGCTTTGAAGGCTCGGAGTTTGCAGCTAGACAGGACTGAGCTGCAATCCTGGCTCTGCCGTTTCCCAGCTGCTTGTCCTCAGACTCCTCACTTAATCGCCCCGTGCCTCACAGTCTTCTCATCTGTAAAATGGGATTTGTGAGAGAATTAAATGACTTAATACAGGTCATTGAACGCTTACACTAGTAAGTGCTTAATAAATACTAGCTGGCATTGTTGTTCTGTTACCGTCGTCGTCGTCGTCGTCATCATCATCATCATCATCATCATCATTATCATTATCATCCTTATTTAAAAGCAGCCGCAACAGCAGAGGCAGCAGCCCCAGCAGCTGGAATTTGAAGGTCTGACTCCAGGCAGGGCCTCCCAGCCCGATGCGGCCTCTGAAAGCCTCTCCTCTCCCACGCCAGCCCCCAACTCTTCACCTGCCACCCCCACGAGGGTGCTTCCCCAAGAGGTGCTCACCTCCGGAACTGGGAGACCTCATCCTCCGGGGCCCAAACCCCGCCGGCAGCTGGCAGTGCGGGGGTGCGGAGGCCCCGCCCCCGCCCCGCCCCCAGCCCGCCCTTCCCTCTCGGGGTCCGGGGCGCGAGCTGCGGCGGCGGAGGCGGCCACGGTCATTGGCGCTGAGCGGTTCGGGCTGACCGGACGGGACGGGCGTCCCGGGCAGCCTAGCGCGGTATCTCCCGCCCCGCACACCCAGCCGGCGAGGGACACTGGACCCGGGTCGGGGATCGCGGCCGCTCCAGCGAGGTAAGAGCCGGGAACACCGGGAGAGACCAGCTCCTCCATCCTGGAGGTCCCTGGGGGTCCCTGGGGGCCGGTCTCCCGCCGGTGCTGGGCCGCGACGCAAGGCTGAGCCCCCACCACCCCCCAGTCAGGGGCCGGGGCCGGAGAACCCCCGCGATCGCGCACCCTGGAAGGGCAGGGTGGTGGGGAGCGCGGGCGGTTGTGTGCGCGCGTGTGCGTGTGTGTCTGTCTGTCTGTCCATCTCTCTGTCCCAAGGGTGTGTCGGGGGAGATGATGACGCCCCCTCTTTGCAGTCGCTTCTCGGTAGTTTACCCACGCCAAAGCTGAGGGCAGACTTTTCACGACGGACTTGAGCGGGGCTGGCAGCATTAACCGGATAATGCAGGAAGGAATAAGCCCACCATCACCTGTTGCGCTGGGCTGTCGGCCTCCGCGGGTCCAACTCCCGGCTCATCACAGCAGGCAGAGTGGCCTCATTTCTCCAGCTTGTGGGACCCGGGACTTCTTTCTCCTGAGGAGGTGTCCCTGCCGGGAGCCACTGAGCAGAGGTGGGGGTGATCAGGGTGGTGTGATGGGGGGCCGCAGCAGGTACTGGGTGTGAGGTGCCCACCCCATAGGCACACCCCAGATTCGGATTTCCCCAACCACTCCAAAGCTCCTTATTGTGATTACCCCGTCTCTTTGCTCTCATCCTAATTTGGCAGTTGATGAAGATGCTGCTTGTTAAAAATGTTAAAGTGAAATCAAATTATCACTTCCTAGGACTGAAAATGGTTTGAGAAATAATTCCAGGAGCCTGGTTGGGGAGAAAAGAAGCTTATCTTCTGACTAGCTCCACCAAGGCTGCCCCGGGGGCTACCCCCTGGCACCTGCCAGGCACACTGGTAATTGAGGAAGCCCTTGTTCCCAGAAAGGAAGGGGATTCTCCCACTTTGCACTGGATTATCAGTGACTGGGTTAGAGCAGGACCCAGAACAGGATCCCCAAGTGGAAGCTGTCTCGATTTGACAGATGTCACATACAAGCTGTCACCGAGGCTGGCTTCTGCTCCACATCTGTCCTGGGGAATACAAGATGGGGCTTCCCCTCCCAGCCACCTCACACCCATTTCCTTCATCTCCACAAACCCTGGGGCTTGATCAATGAACAGTCACGGTTGCCTGGGCATGGGTGTGGGACCTGGACTGGCTCTGATGTCCTGGTTTCAGGATATCTCAGGACCACAGGCATCTCGGTGGCAGGTTGGTGGCACCTCTCTGCAGACCCTGTGGCCAGCCCCTCATGCTGAAGTCTTCTGCCTGCCTGAGAAGCGCTAGCTCTGCCTCACTTCTCTGCTAATGCAGCCCCTGGAGGTAGCTAGGGGACACCCATCTCAGGGCCAGGTCCTCAGGGTCCCTAACAGAGTGAAATCTGTGCTTCTGCCTGAGACCTCCCCACCCCCAAACCTCCTCCCTCTTGTCATGTGGAAGGCAGTGGATGTGCTGAGGGGCTGGGCAGTCCAGTTCAGCGGGAGATAGGGAGGTGGCCCTGCCACGGCTGGGGCTGTTGGTGATGTGAGAACCCCAACATCCTGGCTGGCTGCACCCCAGACCCCACAAACCAACAGCAGGCTTGTGGGAGCTCAGCCATCCTCAGGCTTGTAAGCTGGGTCTCTGTGACTTGGTGCAGGGGGAGATTGGCTGAATTGTTCATGCCTGTTTGGAAGATACTGGCCTTAGGTTGCTGTGGAAAACGTGGACTCCCAACCCAGCTAGGTCCCTGACTGTGTGACACTGGGCAACTTACAGAATGCTTGGAGGCTCAGCTTCCTCACCTGTAAGATGAGTCTGGCGGGGTGTTTTGAAAATCAAGTAAGGTCACCAATGACAATGTCCATTTTACTGGAGGTGGTTTGGGGCTGGTGTTTTTGTTTCTGCTTTCTCCAGCCCCCAGCCTGATTCGCTGACATTGGACTTCAGGGATCAGGCTGTGCAGCTAGGCTCCCTCATGCCATCCTTAGAGGTGGGGGAAATTGTGTGAATTTTAGTAGCAGGTTAGCTCATAGATTGAGTATGGATTCCCAAAAAGTGAGGATGGAGGATGTTATCCAGTCTCCAGCAAGCCCTGCCTCTGCGGGCAGCTGGCGCTTCTGTCCGCAGCTTCTGCCCCCAGCCATTGGTGTCCTGGGCCTGCCCCACCCAGCCTCCTGGCTCATTGACACTTGGTATGTGCCTGCTCTGTCATCTTATTCTGAGTTTTGGGCCAGTCCTACCCCCTGGCAGAATTAGGACCAGCTACTGGTAACTTCAGGGTCACCAGGAACCTACCCCCTGGCAGAATTAGGATCAGTTACTGGTGACTTCAGGGTCACCAGGAAAGCCCCTGCCCACCAAGTATCATCCTGTTACCCCGAACCTAGCCATCTGATGCCTAATATTCCACCATTAGAGATTCATTCCTGTGGTTCATAGTCTTATGTCAGTTGCTAAACCTTAGCACCACTTTTTTAGAAGCTTTCAGGACCTTGGAGAGGAGACAAAGAGAAGGCAGAACAGAGAGGAGGGAAAGAGAAGCTCAGGGAATGTAGGAGAGAGAAGACTGTACTTTGCCAGCCTCACAGTTCTGCAGAGACAGGCCCAGCTGCTGAGCTCAAGAAGGCCCCAGGGAGAAGCAGAGGCTTGGGACCAAGAGGAAGGGGGAAGGGGCGGGCTTCAGGCAGGGAAAGTTCTGAATCTCAAGTGGGTTTGTCGGTGTGAATACAGGGTGGGTGGCAGGCCTGCGGCTGGGTTGAGCTCTGGCAGTCTGTTCGAGAGGTGAAATAGGCTCTGATGCAAAAGCCTCCTTTCTTTTCATGCTGCTCTGCCCTCTGCTCAGAACACACCACGTGGTGTTTCGTGTGTTCTATGGATGCTGCCCTCTGCATTAGGAGAGGCTGGCCTGGTCAAGCTGGCTGTTTAAAATTGTCAATGGTAATTTGTTAGGTCAGCAAAATAACAGAGTATCCCCTGCCTGGCTGTGCCTCCCTGAAAATTCCCCTGTCACTCCTCTTGCCCTTTCTTGAAAGAATCAAAAATGGCATCATTAACTCAGACTCACTACTCTCCTGGGCTGAGAGAGGCCTGGGGGAGCAGGGTTCAATTGCGATCACCCTGAAAAGGCTGGTGGAGGTGATTCCTTGCTCAGCTAGGACAAGGTCCTGAGTTTTCTAGTGTGGGGGCAAGTGGAAGGGGAGATGGAGGGGTGAGGATTGAGGGTCCCTGCCCATGGTGGCCCATGGCCAGGCTCCTTGTGGGGAGGAGCAGGCTGGTATCACCGGGCTGCTCAGGGGGCTTGATGACGTGGACTGGTCCAGATTGGTGAAGCTCCAGCAATGAGCAGTTTGTAGCCTTTTCTGGTTGCTCCTGAGGGCAGAGCCTGGACCAAAAGCAAGATGTTTTAAGTCACCAGTATGACCTATTGGCCATGAGCACCCAAGGAACAACCATTCTTAAGGATGATTCTCAACCACATCTGTTCTTAATAATAACAATGACAACAATGATGATAGCAGCTCCTCATTCTTCCAGAATGAGCATTTGTTGAGCACCCGCTGCACACGTGCTGGGTGCTGTTTTAAGTAACAGGGATATGACTATGGTATGATTGGCATTTGGGGCTGACTTGTTCTTTTGTTTGGTGCAGGGGAGGCTGTCCCGGGCTGGTCTCTATCCATGAGATACCAGTAGCATCCCAGGCCCCCACTCACTCTTTTTTTTTTTTTTTTTTTTTTGAAATGGAGTCTCAATCTGTGATCCGGGCTCACTTGAACCTCTGCTTTCTAGGTTCAAGCGAACCTCCTGCTGCAGCCTCCTGAGTTAGCTGGGATGACAGGCATGGGCCACCATGATCAGCTAATTTTTATATTTTTAGTAAAGATGGGGTTTCCCCATGTTGGTCAGTCTGGTCTCGACCTCCTGGCCTCAAATGATCCACATGCCTCAGCCTCCCAAAGTGCTGGGTTTACAGGTGTTAGCCACCCCAACTCATTCTGACAACTAAAAATGTCTCCAGAGATTGCTGAAAATCCCCTGGGAGGCAAAGTGGCCTGCTGTGGAGAAGCACCGGGGATAGAGCTAGAGAGAAAGACAAAAATCAATTCTATTTCTTAGGAGTCAGCATTCCACAGGACGAAATGAACAAGACATATGCTGTAGGGGTAGAAAACAGAGGCAGCTGTGTGGTGGAGAGGCTAGAAAGACCAAGCAGGGTCAGGGTTTAGAGAACACAGGTGAGGCAGGGTTGCCATTTTCAAAAGGAGTCCCAGGAAGGGCCTCACTGAGCAGGTGATACTAATCAGAGACGGGAAGGTGGGGAGAGCGAGAGGCGGAGGCTGGGGAGGAGATTCCAAGTAGCTGCGGGAAGAGAAAGCGGAGGAACACGGAGGGGGTCAGTGAGGCTGGGGGTGGGCAGTGTGGGAGCAGCTGGGTGGGCTCTGATGGGCCCCCCATCACCAAGACCTGTGAGCTTTCTCCGTGATTAAAAAGAGGAGGTCAGTGAGCGCTCACTACCTGCTAGGCGCAAACGCCACTCCAGGCTGTTCCTCGCACACGCACTGAAGTCCTATCGGGTAAGTGTTATTCCTTTACTTGGTCGCTCAATTGAGAAAAGCAAGGCCCAGAAGGGTTAAGGAATTCGGGCAGCACTGTCGGAGCACGGGGGTGGGCACCCCACTCTCCACCATCCACACTAAAATGTGGACTTCAGAGCCACACAGAACTGAGTTCAAATCGAAGCGCGGTCTCTTCCTAGCCGTGTGTGGCCTTAGACGAGTCACGGACTCTCTCGGAGCCTTGGTTTTCTCTAGGAACGGGTGATCCCCGCTTTGTAGGGCTTTTGTTGAGAGTGCTGTCTGTGGTGCCCCCTCATGCCCCCTCTCAGTGCATGTGCACCAGAGAGAAGCCAGAGGGCAGGCGGCCCCTCCCAATCCACCCAACCACGGGTGCATGCCCTGGACTTGTGCATCTGTTCACCGAGCTACAGCAATG